TCAGTCAAACATAGGTCAGGGTCAAGGTCAGGTCAATCAGGTAAGCACATATCCCCAAATAGCAAAACTGGTATTCGCTGTCTATGACACATGTTTTATGGGTAGGGGAGAGTGGGGTAAGATGCCCAGGGTGGGAAAGACGCCCCACCCCCTCTAGCGGCGAAACAAAGAATCGAACCTGGAAATTAATGTTCTTAGCGTAAAGCGGAAGCCTGCCTTGTTAACTGCACAAAAATTTGCGAAGCTCAGTTGGGCAACGGCTGGCTGGTGATTGCATGTTTTTTATTTGCTGCTTTCAAAAAATAGTTTGGTGTCAAAACATTGTAAATATCAAAGAAGGTAGATAATTTTGCGTCCCTTGCTATAGTCGTGATGCATTAACATGCTTGTACTGTGTCCCAAACAGTTTGTTTCAGGGTGTAGTTTTATGGCTGACAAATTGTACTGATTTAATGTTACTTCGGTACCTTGGGGTAAGATGCCCCCTGTCCTGATGGGGAAAGACGCCCCCCCCCTAAATCCGTAGGCTTTCCTTCAAGCAGCCCGTCAAATCATTTATTACATACTTGTGATGAGAGACAAAAGCCGATCTGGGACTATTGGGAGTCCAGTACGGTCGGGTGCTCCCCATGCCAGTCTCTCGGCCCACACAGCGACTTTTTGGGCGGCATCTGACTCTGAGAGCCCTCACGACGGCCTCTGTGGGCCCCATTATTGGCTCCAAGGCCCCTCACGACATCCTTTGAGGGCTCCCACGTTGGCTCCACGGGCCGCGCTGGCATCTGAGGTCCCCACGATGGGCTCGAGGGCCCTCAAGCATCATGAAGACCTATACCTAAGGGCCCCACAGCGGTCTCCGAACGCCACCACGGAGGCTTGTTTGGCCGCGCTGAACTAAGCTGGCCCTAACGATGACCTCTGAAGCCCCTTACGACTACTTTTGAGGGCCCTTACGATGACGTTTGGTGTCTACTGCAGGCTCGAAGGGACTACTGATTCGTTCAGGCGATTCACGTGCCCATTTATGTCACTTATAGTGCAGGGGGCATCTTACCCAACGCCAGGGGGCGTCTTTCCCACCCTGTGGGGTAAGATGCCCCCTTTCACTTCTTCAGGAAAATGCTTAATGGCAAAAAAAGTTATCATAGTTCAGGCACGAAATTGTGATATTTTTGGAGAAAAATGATGTCGGCTTCTGTTGAAACTCCAAGTTTTTGCCTTCCGATCGTCATTTTCGAATAATATATGACAAAGTAAAACCCTGGGCATCTTTCCCCACTCTCCCCTAATTTTGGGCGTAGAACACGATGGTGGCATTCATTGTATCATATGTGCACGTGTTTGGTTCAAAAAGTTCAATTTAAGAAATGCATGTATCATGGTGGTGAAGTAGTCACGAAAAATTGCCAAGATTCAGTTCAAGATTGTGGAAAGTGTGGAACGATAATCAAAAATCAAAGATAGCCATTGGATTGTTCATGGTATTGGCAGTCTAATGACGTTTACGGCATGTCTGTATGTCTATTTTGTGATTTATATGGTTTTTTGAACATATGCCGTTTTTGGTCGAAAACTCAGAAATCATGACGTCACTAAAACCTCGATAGCTCAAAAATTTTCCGACCGATTTTTTTAACTTTGCCACAATAAACTTCGATCAATTCCCTACAGGTACTTAAAATTTGGCGCGCTTGCGGCGCGCCGTTTTTATGCTATAGCGCGGCGAAAAAAGTGGGGGCGTTTAACGCCGCCCCCCCCCCCCCCAGCAACTCGCGGGTTAACAGCCTGAGATACATTCAGTATGAGGAAGGTTCAAGGGTGCTAGATTCCTTCCGTCCTCGCTAGCCTCAGGAAAAACCAATCCGCATCGCCCCTAGTCTTCATGCTTCCCTCTCTGGACTGGAGGTCACCCCACCAGCCAACCTGTAGTTGATGTCAGATCCATTCCAGGACACATAATCCTCTTCGGGTGACCGTTTGGGAGACGGCTGGACCGTCCCGACAGGGCAATCGTTCCACGGGAACAGTCTCGCTTCCGCAGATCACTGACGCTGGCTCGCACAACCCAATTACTACACCAGAGCATAGCTATGTCATAGCTCTGCAAGGGCCTTTTCAGACAGAAAAAGATGGCCCCCAACAAAACAAACAATTTTCTCATTCAGTATTGTATCTCATCAAGCACCACATGTTCTCAGAGTGTTTATTATGCGTTCCGTCCAAAAAAGCGCAGTTCGATTTTCTCCCATTGACTTGAGCGATCTCAAAATTGACCCGGCCTTTCTGTCAACAATGTCAAACTTGCAAAGTAAACGTTTCAAATACATATACTGTTGCCCATTAAAATCGCTGAAAGTTCTGAAGCGATCGTTAGTCGGTGTATTTAGATATGATGAGCACAGGAACTTTCCTTCAGGTAAGGTCACTTGACGTGACCTGTTGTTACGACCTTGAATTGAAAGACTTGGGCGGGAAAAATGGGTCATTTGAAATATTAAAATGCTAGCTTTTAACGATAATTGCAAAAACTATCCCGGCAAAATAGTGAGTTAGAAGGGAGCAATTCCCCGACCCCATGTTTAGCTCCTATAATTGAGCTAGCTGTTAGAGCCTCGCGGAAAACGAGCGCTTGCGTCGTTACGTGACGCAGCGACTGGTACCCCATTTTAAAATATCAGTGACCTCTTAGGGCAGGTCAAGGGCCCCGAGGCATTTAATCGGTTTTTGGTAAATAACTAAACGCATTATCGTCATTTCGATACAATCGTGTTTTCTGTTCTCAGACGCGTCGATTTATATGCTTTTTTGTTTAGGTGAAGCAATTTAGGATGTTTACCTCAGGTCAATGTCATGTTAGGGCAACGCAGGTCACGAAGCTGTTGAAAGGAGGACATGTTGCATAACATTTGATTCGGCAAGTCTTGCAAAGTCCATTGATGGCTGTCTCGACTGGCTAGCTCATTTTGATCGGGAGTTATTGACGAAGCACTCCTATGACCCTAGTGACGTCATAAATGACGTCACGCAAGGTTAACAATGCAAAAGTGAGGCATTAGACCTTGCCAAGAATGTATGAAGCCACGATTTCATGTGCTTGAGGTATAGTATCAGATCATTTCCGACGCCAAATTAACAGTTTCCATGAATTCCCCATTATGCGTATATGACACTAAGTGCATTCCGGATTGCATCATTTTATAACCGACAACCGTGCAGAGGTTTACTTAAGACGTCATAGTTAAGTGAACTGACCTGAAAACGTGGTTGAGGTCAAGTGATCCGGCTTGAATGAAATGTAAGGCATGTGAAATGTCAGCCTTCTATCATCAGTGTGCTTTGAGCTACCCCAAAAAATACATGGTGGCGGCATCGACCCCTTCTTATCGGCCGGCGAGGGTTAAACCTCGCTTCGAATTATTGCAGATAATGATGCGACCGAAAACAAAGCATTTAGGTATATGTGTCTAGAACGGCCGCTGACTTGTTGGACAAGATCCCCAATCTTAATTCGCTAGATGGGAATAAAATACTCGGCATGTGATACATATAGTTATACCCCTCGATTTGCCCCTCGCGTTAAGTCTATTCTAATCATCACTGTCGCTTTTTATCCGAGATGATGTCGCCGCTAAACAGGTTGCTCTGTTTGCTTGCTTGCGTTGAATGGCCATTACGGATTATTGAAGGATTATGATAAAATAGGAATGGGGCAAGGGAAGATATGCACTGCAGGTGTTTAATTTAGATCACAAAGGCATCATTTCCAGCATCGTGCAGAGTCATTATCTTCCCCTGTTCTGCACTGCGGCATCTCCGCGCCCCACACAAGGCGTCCTCACTCCACGGCCGGCCGCCGCCAACTGACCCACTCGCCGGGCGCCGCGACCTGACCCGTGTCGCTGCCGCGGCCTGCGCAATAGAGTCGGGGCTGGAATCCGGGGGTTCGACCGGCCGGCCGCCTCTGGAGCGGGGGACTTTTTTAGTAGACCTACTGTACCCCCCAAACCCCCTCTAAATATTGACCTAGAGCAACCAAATTTACACAGGGGCGAGAACTCCAAGGAGCCCACCTACCTACCAAATTGGTGTTTCTAGGTGCCATAGGAGCCAATCGCGAGGGGGGTTGCATCGACCCCCTGCCAGGCCGTGTTATGAAAAATGCCCTGCCAGGGCGAGGGTTTATACTACAGATATGTATCATCAGCCACTGACTGTCGCCGGTGTGCTCCGTCAGAGTTGCTTATTTTTAACGTATGACAGCACTCGGAAAGCTATTTTGAGTGCAGTTACGTGATGCTAGCACAGAAAAGAAATGGAAAGGATATATGAGCACTCTCGTTTGGAGTGTTTTTGTTAACTCATCAGAAGCACGTAATTATTGTGAAACATTTGCATACGAAAACTAACGTTATCTTCATCATCTGTCAACTCTCGTGGCGGGTATGTAACCCTCTTCTTTATTTCAAGAATAGTTCCACTTGGCAAACTAAGGAAGCAATTTAAATCCAACTTTCTCGAACTTTTCCTAGAAGTGATGCAGCGTCTTACAAATCTGAATACAGAATTACATCAGCAGTTACAGACTTCAGCTAATTTTCTTGGTAGGTACCTACCTAAGCAATCTCTAGGCACTGTTCCATTAACATATTCCGAAGTCTTTATGCAAATAGGTACCCAGGAAACAGCTCACGTCAGCTAAGCGCAAAGTTGATGCATGAGGTCCAAGTGAGCCGCGCCCGCTCAATATACAATATACATGCAGTAACCAGGAGAAATTCTTCCGATGTCCTTGTCTCAGCATCGGTGGCTTACCCTATTGAACGCTGTCGCCGTTTCGGCATCCCTCGTGCAATACAGCCGTGTCTCCGTCGCCAATCGCCATCCTGTTGGGGCCGCCACTTCCCTGCCGTCCTGCTGTTGGGCTGTCGGTCTCTGCGACTCGGTACGCTATCGCACGTCTTCGTTTCTATGCCGTCACCGTCACCTGCGCGTCCCGGCAGACAGCAGCCTTGGCCTGGCTGTCACCTGGGCGCGCATCGCCTTCATCTGGGGCTTCTCGGTGGTGTGGATGAGCCTGCCGTTTGTCGGAGTCAGCCGATACGTCCCCGAGGGGTTCATGACCAGGTAAGTGAGCAATGTGTGTGGAAATAGACGTGAAAATAGATAGACGTGCTACTTTGCAGCATCTGTGTCGAAGTAGGCGGCTGAGATAGTCTGGAATGTGAGGGCACGGGGGTCGTTTCACAGCTAAAAGTAACCGTCTAGGTTCAGCTGGCTCGCTCACTCTCGTAATACAGCAGGGTATTAGACGTTCCGCTTTCTTTTAGCCACCCAACATTTTTAGATAATTGTGTTTCTAATGAAAAAATATATCCCTATAGTATGTAGGTAAGTCGCATGAGATGGAAAGTGATGAATTTCTATTTATTTATAAATGCTTGAGTTCCCAATAGATATTTTTGTTCTGTCCCTTAAATGTTAAGGCTAAATATTTAATATCAGCACAGGCTCTGCAGTATCCAAGATAGTCAGCCCAAACTCACACATGTAAGTGTAACATCAGCTCAACGGTGTCCGGACAAATTGCCGAAAGGCGATTTACCGAATGTCATTTTGCCGAATGCATTTCGCCGAATGTCATTTTGCCGATGTGCTTTTTGCCGACGTGTCAAAAAGTCGAAATGCTAAAAGTCGAAATGCCATTTGCCGACATGCCTTTTTGCCGAAATGCCAATTTGCCGAAATGCTTATTAGTCGAAATGTAACTTTGCCGAAATGCGATTTGCCGAAATGTCGATTAGTCGAAATGTAAATTTGCCGAAATGTCAATTTGCCGAAACGTCAATTTGCCGAAATGTCAATTTGCCGAAATGTCAATTTGCCGAAATGTCAATTTGCCGAAATGTCAATTTGCCGAAATGTAAATTTGCCGAAATGTCAATCTGCCGAATTGGCAGTTTGCCGAAGTGTCAATTAGTTGAAATATAACTTTGCCGAAATGTCAATCTGCAAACCTAGGTTAGGTGGTGTTTATTTACTTAGGACCGATCACCAATTTACTTTTGGTGCAATCCCCAACTAAAAAGCAAATCACATGATAGGTATCCTTTGACCTCCTGATTTCATAACTAATAATTATTAATGGCACAAGCAAGTTTAAAAACACCAATACCATGTGGAAATAAACATCAAATTGCTCGTGGCGAAGCAGTGCAGTGCCGAAGGCAATGCCTTAGGAGAGATTACAGGCAAAGGTAAGTCAAGTATTTTTAGGCTAACCCTCGCCGGCCGAGGGGGGTTGCGGGTGCCGCAACCCCTAGGGTTTTTTTCGCGATAGCTCCGAACACGCTGGCGATAGAGAGCTGAAACTTTACATAGCTGACCTTTGATTCAAGCCGGATCTTTTTACACCAACCGCATTTTCGGGTAAGGTCAGGTCACCGACCAATGACGTCATAAGTGAACCTCTGCACGGTCTTCAGATGTCGCAACTTCGCAACACCCTCACGGCCAGAGGAGCTTTCACAGGGAAATGAAACATGCAGGACCTAATATCCATTACAAGTCTCACAGCTTGTATATCTCAGATTTTCCGAAAGGTTATTTGAGGTCAGGTCATTTCCGTGACCTCACCATTATAAGTCAAGAAGAAAAATGAAAACTGATATTCTGGCGCCGGGAACGAGCTCTGACTATCTCAAGCACGCAGAATCGTGATTTGACGCCTTCCTTGCAAGGTTAGATGCGTAACTTTTGCAATGTTGACCTTGCGTGACGTCATTTATGACGTCATCAAGGTCATATTAGTTTTTCTTCAATAGCTCCCGATCAAATTGAGCTAGCGAGTCGGAAAAGCCACCAATGGGCTCAGGAAGACCTGCCGAATCGAATGATATGCAACATGACCTCTTTCCACCAACTTCATGACCTGGGGGTGCTGACCTGACCCTGACCTGAGGTCAACACCCTAAGTTGACCTGACCCAAACAAAAATTATATCATTTGACGCCCCTAAGCAAGGCAAACACGATGCTGCCAAAATCGCGGCCCTGCGGCCCTTTGTAGCGAAGTTATTCGCCAAAAACTGAACCGTACCTTGGGGCACTTGACCTGACCTCAGAGGTCACCGGTTGACGTAGGACCTTAAAATCGGGTATCAATCTCTGCGTCTCGTAACGGCGCACACGCTCGTTATTTCCGCGACGCGCCAGCTCCACCAGGGGCGAAGCGACTAATAAGCATTTCGGCAAATAGGCATTTCGGCAAAAAGGCATGTCGGCAAATGGCATTTCGACTTTTTGACACGTCGGCAAAAAGCACATCGGCAAAATGACATTCGGCAAATCGCCTTTCAGCAATTACCACCTCGGCCGGCGCGTATGTAGAAAACCAATAGGTCCGGTGAGGGTTAAATTGTTGTGTATCTGGCTTCAGGCCTTCGGCCTGAAGCCTGATGCACAACCACTTAACCTAAAAATAATTGACTTATCATTGTCTGCAATCTATTCATGTGAGTATCTTCTTCCTTATCCACGGGTAGGCAAAAATCAGTAGGTCGGGTTAGGTAAGGTTTGGTTATGTTTTCTTTTACTTTGGTGACATGTAAGTGGGTTTCTTTGCCTTTGAAAAGCGAGTCGGTCCTAAAGTTAATACTTACGGGTCAGGTTAGGTTAGGTTAGGTTAGGATAGGTTAGGTTAGGTTAATTTCGGCTAATTGGCATTTCGGCAAATTGACATTTCGACTAATTGACTTTTCGGTAAATTGACATTTCGACTAATTGACACTTCGGCAAATTTACGTTTCGACTAATTAGCATTTCGGCAAATTAGCATTTCGGCGAATTGACATTTCGACTAATTGACTTTTCGGCAAATTGACATTTCGGCAAATTGACATTTCGACTAATTAGCATTTCGGCAAATTAGCATTTCGGCGAATTGACATTTCGACTAATTGACTTTTCGGCAAATTGACATTTCGGCAAATTGACATTTTCGACTTATTGCACGTCGGCAAAAAGGCATGTCGGCAAATTGCATTTCGACTTTTAGCACTTCGCTCTTTTGACACGTCGGCAAAAAGACACGTCGGCAAAATGCATTCGACATATTGACATTCGGCGAATAAGCATTCGGCAACAAGCAGTTCGGCAAATTGTCCTGTAACCCAGCTCAACACCAGGCCAGGGTGAGATGGGGCCGGGAATCTCAAATGTGTCGCAGCCGGCAGCCTGCAGCCCTGAATGGCTTGGTGTTCAGCACCGAATATGCCGCTATAAAAAACACTCGGATCAGACCATTCTGGTTCGACAGAGGGCGATCACTTTCTAGGCCAGAGCCGAGCCCAATCCCCGAAAATGTCTGTGCTCAGAACGAATACGCGTCTGGAACTACATTGGATCTTTCATCCTTTTCATATTGGGCGAGATAAATCAGAGCCTGGCGAATAAAACGTGCCTTTGAATCACACTCGTCGACGTTGAAGAAAAGCATGTCGCTGAATGACGTATCTCTTCGAAAAAAATGATGACAGGTCAGTTCTTAAGGTAACACCTAGCGTTTATTCGTGCTTATGTCAGTTTCACTAATCAAAGGACGAAAAAAAAAAACTTATAGGTATGTTTTGTAATGATCGCACTCAACTATGTTGCTGAAATTATTGTCAATGGCATTATTTTCACCCGCTGCGTGAACCCCAGCAGTTGCATCGAAGTGCAGAAGCAAATAGAATTACGAACATAACCAATAACCATGTTGTTGCCATCCTCGTTACCTATGCTACTCGACAGATTCTTATAACGTGGGTAAAAGCTACACCATCCTCACCTGGCGGAATATTTACCTTTTTTCAGCTGCACGTTCGACTACGTGTCGGGTGACGCGGTGTCGCGCGCCTACATCGGCCTGTCGGTGGTGCTGTGCTACGTGGCGCCCCTAGTGGTGATCGCCGTCTGCTACTGCACCATCTACCGGCTGCTCGGCAGGATGCCCGACATCGCCGTGCACACCAAATACGGACAGGCCATACAGGTACGAGCCTTACACTAAATGCTGACAGGCCACACAGGTATGAGTCACACTGACACACCGAATACCAACAGGCCATACAGGTACGAGACACGCACCAAATACCGACAGGCCAGGCCATACAGGTACGAATCACGTCACATGTCAAATACCGACAGGTCGTACTGTTATGGACACACGGGGCCGATGCCATTAATACAGACCGTCCAGGCGCCGGACAGTTGTAGTTTCTGATATCGCCAATCCGCCACTGTGGGTGAGTCGGATTGTCGGTGACCGATGCCGGTGGTCCGTTACAGACGGTGCGGGAGAGCCTGGTGAAGCGGAGGGAGACCCAGCTGAGCCGCACCATCGTGCTGCTGGTGACCGCCTGGTGCCTCTCCTGGACGCCCTACACCGGTCAGTGTCCGGCGCCCGACCGCGACCAGCGGTCTGCTCGGGTTGTCACGCGATCCGTGCTGTCATTTCAGTGGTAGTGACTGTCAGCCTATAACGTGACCTGCACGGTGTAGTCAGTGGCGGTGATTGCCACGTGACCCGTGCTGTGATTTCAGTGGCGGTGATCCTCGGGATGACCGGCAGTCCCCGGCTGACTCCATTTGTGTCTCTGGCGTCCGCCGTTTTCGCCAAGGCGTCGGCCGTCTACAACCCCATCATCTACGTGTTCGCGCACAACAAGTTCCGCAAGGTGAGAGCCAGCCGGGGGTGTCACCCAGCCGCGGCGTCACCCAGTAGGGCCATCAGCCGTCGTTCCAGGCCCTTTGCACGTGACTTGAGAGTACGAGATCAGTTTGTTGTCCATGTTTTTGCGGATTATCAGCGTTGACTCCTCTATTAAAAAAGGGATAAGAAATTTAAGGAACTCTGTCGCGAATATGGTTGAGTTTTCATGCTATCAATTGATGAAATGTGTGCGGGGGGGGGAGAATATGACGATGCATCCAAAAACGAGCTCGCTGACTAGATAATACGGGGACTGGGTATCGAACTCAAACCATCGGAACAAACCCGTCGCCGCTCAGCATACAAAAAAAGCGCAGATCTAAACATAATCAGCGCCATGCCTGGACAATTCTAGCGTGGGATTTATTATCGATGGCCATTGCTTTGGTGATTGCTTTTGTGTTGTTAAGTTACGTTAATTGTGGTTTTACCGTGCGTTCAGTGTTCGAGACTCTCCCTTGGCTGGATTGTGTAAACATAAGGTCAACAATGCAAAAGTAAACTATCGAACCTTGCAAGAAATGCATGAAATCACGATTCCGTGTGCTTGAGATAGTTTGAGATCGTTGCCGGCGCCGAAATAGCAGTTTCATTTTTCCCGATTGACTTATAATAGTGAGGTCACGTGACCGACCTGACCTAATGTGACCTTTAGGAAAATTCCGAGATATACAAGTTATACAAGTTGGGAGACCTCTGGAGGATACTAGGTCATGTAAGTTTCATCTCCCTCGGAAAGTTCCTCTGACACTGGGGGCGTTGTGAAGTTGTGACATTTGAGGGCCGTGCAGTGGCTCACGTATGACGTCATAGGTCAGTGACCTGACCTGAGGCCAGTTTTACCAACAGTTTTATCAGTTTTACCAATAGCCGCCTGCCGGAATTTTTTTGCCAAAGACCTTTTCACATACGCGATGGGCGCGTAAACGCGATGGGCACGTAAGCGGATAGGGCTTAACCGTTTACGTTCCGTATGTGAAGCGGTCATAAGGCAAACAAGAAAAAAAACGGCAGACGGCCACTTTTCTGTTGATAACACTGGCCTCTGATATGAAAATGCGGTTGGTGTCACAAGATCCTGCTTGAAACAAAGGTCAGGTATGCCTAGTTTCAGCTCCATCGCCGGCGTGTTCAGAGCTATCGTGAAAAAATCCCTATGCGGAGGGGCGACCCCCCCCCCCCCTCCTGGGCGGCCGCCGAGGGTTGATCCGAAGTACCTAGTGTCTGAAAGAGACACAATCCTATGTTGCTTATATTCACACCCATGCATTGATTCAATATGACGTCTGTATGATTACTGCTGCCTACCAAAATAACGGCACAACCCGCGCCCCGTTGGGGTCTGCCGAGCAACGCGCCCCGTTGGGGGGGGGGCATTTTGCCCCCCCCCCCTCCTTGAAATCTCGAGAACCACGCAACATAGCGACAAGCAGTGAACGGTATTGGATATCCCCAACAGGGGATATCCAAACCTTGTTATTTGTTACCAAATTTCATTGACCTCGGTTAATCCGATGACGTCACAGGTCAGGTCAAATGTCGAATTTTCACCATTTGCAGGCAGTTCAAGAAATGTCGAGTAAAAAGGCATATTATTGAAAATAATCGATTTGGCAAACACATATTTTGCTATTTGAGGCCACTAATATCAGGTCAGGTCACAAGGTCAGCTCAATGAGGGTCACAATACGCAGGTGTCGTGTGATACAGGTTTTATGGTCCATTTTACATGACAAATGCGATTATGAGGGTCAGAAAACCTTATGGGCCAGTTAAGGTTATGTTCTGGTGAAGGTCAAGTCAAGGTCAGGTCAAATTAGGTCAAAGTTCAAAGTCGTTATTCTTGCATTGAATGGGTATCGATTCGATGCAGCTCGTCACGGGGAGTTCAGTGGTTGTCTTTGTTTTTCGCTGCGTGGTCTAGAATTGCTAGAAATTGAGCTTGAAAATTTGACGTCATCAATTTTGAAGTCTTTCGCTATAACTTGGCCAAAAAAGGAGATATCGATCTAAAATTTGGTATGTAAATAGAAGAGGGCAGGGACTATCAGATATATTCCGTTTTTCCGAAATTCGAAAAACTTTTGGCATTTTTGCTGTTATATAAAAACATACTTTTTATTCTGAGGGTCAAAATCACAAAATTTTGAAAACCCGAGATAGCAGTTTTGTAGCGCCGTCTTTTCTCTGCACCACCAAATAAAGAACTTTGAAATTGCTCGTTGACTGTAGCTTTTGTGAGCGTTTCAAGATTTCATGATTTTAGCTCATTTTTGCTCGAACATGATCTCAGTTTGATCTCATTAACTCCGGGCGCAAGGTGACCTAAGACTTGAAATTTGTGCGAAGGAGTCAAATTGATGCCCGGGAGGGTGCTGAGAATTGGCCGCCGTTTTCTTGTGTTCAGGAAAAAACACAGGGGGAGGGGCATGTTGCCCCCCCCCCCCAACGGGCGAACGTTAATGGCTCCTAATGCTGTACAGGATTGTTCTGTTTCCGACATAACTTACGTACGGCACAAATTTGACTCGCCAGCTGTCTATAATACTTAAAATTTATTATATAAAAGTTCTTGGGCACGCCGCCAAACCCAATCATAATCATCATAAAAGTTATTGTTGTTTGACTGTTTGTAATTGACCTGTTATCTAGTATTATAAGCCGATGGTCTTGTGCCTTTGATGCCAGTTTTTCTTCCTGTGGCCAGGTACTGAAGAAGAAGTACAAGCAGTGGTCTCGCGGCTGGAGCCCCGCCTGTGCCTCGCAGTCCGAGTGCAGCCGGTGAGACTAGTAACCATGGGTGAGGCCGTGTGCCGCGAATGGAGCGCACGACAGTCCGTTCAGCGGGCCATCCACTGACACCACAGACCAGCGAGATCAATCGCGAGCATTATATGTTTTCATGAATATCGGCCGCCAAAATGGGCTGAGCGCCTGCCCATGACACCAAGTAAACTAATTACGAGAGTGTGTCAATACAGAGGCCCAATATAGACAGCGTATGCTGCCACAGTGGACCAATATCGCCTGTTTTTCCTCACGTTGAATCAACAGTGTATCAGATGTCGCCTACTCGGCTTTCTTCGTGCTGTAACCAAAGAGCGTGTAAAAAACGCGTCTGTCCCCACAGCTGACTTATGACTGTGACCACAGCTGATTTTCTGTCACCACAGCAGAACTGTATCACCGCAGTTGACCTGTGACTGTGTCGCTGCAGGGACTCGGGCTCTGGTCTGGAGCTGCGCGTGATGCGCCGCTCGTCAGTGACAATTCGGCGCGGCCGCCTGTGCCAGTCCACGTCCTGCGGCCCGTCCAACGCGTCCCACCCGACCACACCGCGGCGCATCGTCAACGCCGAGATCTTCTTCTGAGCGGGCTGCGTCCGCGAACCGGCAGCGGGGCAGCTCACCCCTGCCGGCAGCGTATCGCCGAGGAGACTGCTGTCGGCTGCGTGCTCTGAAGGACGGTTGTGGTTGGATGGCTCATCCGAGTGACGGGTGACTGCTTGGAACGGCAAAGGTGGATGAAATCGGTGTCAAAAAGCATGAAAAGGTTGCCCCCAGTGTCAGTCGCTCAAATGAACGGTGTCAGAGAGTCCTCAGGATGGCCGGCGCCGGTGTCAGGCGCTCCAAAAATGATGACCGGTTCAGAATCGCTCGGATGTTTGAGATGCTGATGTGAACGCTAGTGAAGTGTCAATGACAGATTTTAATTGTATAGTGTGTCTTCCTAGAGAAGGGGGATAGACGATTGTGTGCTGACTGCTAACAATATTGCATAACTCATAGCTCTGTTGCAAACTGTGTTAAATGTATGTAGGCAAGAATTTTCTTGAGATTCTGAATGGTTTCCAATCTCAATAAATACTTCTCGTGGAATAAAACAGCTTTTTTTGGTAAAACGGGGAAATTAAGTAGATAAGAGTAGAAGTATATAGTTCTTTAGGTAACAGAAAGTAGATAGAGATAAGTACTAAGTAGAAAGATAATAGAAAGGTAGGTAACTTTTGGACAACCATTATTTCCTAAGGGCATTCGAAGGTCTTTCATAACACTTATGCTTCATATACTTTACTTACGCCGATATACTTTCACTTACGCCGTCATAGGTCAGTGACCTGACCTGAACCTTTTGTTTGTTTTGTTGGGTTAGGCCCTTTCGGTCTGACAAGACCATTGCAGAGCCGGAAGGATGATAGGAATTAGGGGAGACATTGGTCTGGGCAGACACCCTAGAGAGTCGCCGGGGCTGAGCCCGTCCGAAAGGACAGGCCGACCAGCCCCCCAAGCACTCTCTGTACCCGGCCACGGGGTGCGCTCCCTCGGGAGCAGCGGTGCTGCTCCAAGGGAGCTGCCGATGGAAGCACGGAACGGTCAACCTGAACCTAAAATGCGGTTGGTGTCACAAGATCCGGCTTGAATCAAGGGTCAGGAATGCCAAGTTTCAGCTTCTCTATCGCCAGCGTGCTCGGAGCTACCACGAAAAACCCATGTGGGGGGGGGGGCACCCGCCTCCCCCTTGGCCGGCGAAGGTTAAAACAAACTTTGAAAAACCGACGCCAGCCTTCGGTCGGGGAATTCAGGTGGTGAGCTTGCACAATAGACCTAACGAAGAACGGTGTCTGCGCGTATCCACCTGACCTAGCTGGGATATGGCTGACCCTCCCCCCTCCCCCTGGAAAAGCTGACCCAGTCATTACGTCAAAGGCGACGAATGTGCACCACCTTCCGATCATCAGGCTCGTACCTAAATGGGATAGAGCGGCCCTTCGCAACAGCCCTGCCATCCTTAGGACGCTCATTTTTATCTCTGATTACGCATGCAAATCGCTGCAGTTGACAAGATATCTTGGCTCGCTACGCGTCGCGTTGGCCATAAAATGATTAAGGAGAAAATTTGGGACCGATTGGTGTTCGTCCCGTGTTGATTGGACGTCTAGAAGCTTAGATATTCGCGAAAAACTTGTTAAACTTGCCAGAATACCTGCCAGCTTGCTGTATCACCTGCTACTTGTTAATGTACTGAAAACTTGCTAATGTGCTGAAAACCTGCCAAAGTACTTGGTATTTACTTGCCTAAATACCGCAAAGAACTTGTTCTAAAATACTTGGTATTTACTTGCCTAAATACCGCGAAAAACTTGTAACTTTTTGACGTTTAAATCATACGACGATCAATAATTTGGTCTCAGAATCCTTTTTTGAATTATCAATGATTTACTTGCAAATTGAACTGATTTACCTACCTATTAGAAGTGCATCCTAGCTATGTGAAATGCGATTCACCTACCTACCTGTTGTTCCCCACTTGCTCTTCGCGTCCTACCTATCTTGCGGTTATACCTGTAAGTAATCAGTCGGTGGATGGTTATAATGCAATACCCTGCACGGTGAACAGCTTGCGAGTTTTACAGCGGTGCGATTGCTGGGGCTTATTGCTGACTGAAAAGGGTAAATACAGTAAATACAGATGGCTGTGTTGGATCCCTTTGCTTTTGCCCAACATTCAGCGTTGGAATTGTGGCTTTACCGTCTCTCTTATTAAAGTTAGCTAACTTTTTGTAGATTCGTAAGGTTTGAAGCGACGCGCGTGACGATATCCCTCTGGCGGCCGCACGCGGACCTACCGCGCACGGCGGCTCTGGCCGGACGACTGCACAGGTGGCAGCACCTGCCCCGACTGGGCATTTACGGCGACCCCGGCCGGCCGCCGGCTGCAGTGCCTGGATCTCCGGAACGGCGGTACCTCGCTCATTTTCGCTCGTGCATTCAGCGGCGGGCTGTCGATTTTTCGAGTGTCGGCTGCCGATCTCCCGCGAGCCGGCCACCTGTCAGCCGCCGCTCGGCTCTGTGTTAAGCATATAGTGACGGCGAATTTCTCCGGGATGGAGGGACCGCCATCGAGTTTGTCACGTGAATCGGCCGCATTCCTGTGTCTGAGGCCAATGCTTAAGAGATATGTGGTTCCGCGGCTATCTCGCAGGCCCTAAGAGAAAAAGCTCGCTGCAAAAACTGAGCGTTTCAAAAAACCCGCAAACCGACGCAAATAGAATAGTTATACAAGATATCTTGCGCTCGCTCCGCGTCGCTTTGGCCATAAAAAGATTCGGGAGAAAATTTGGGATCGAATGGTGTTTTTCCGGTGACGATCGGACGTCTAGAAGCTTCGATATTGGCGAAAAACTTGCTGAATTTGCAAAAGTACTTGGTACTTGCTTGGTACTTGCCAAAGTACTCGGTACTTGCCAAAGTACTCGGTACTTGCCAAAGTACTTGGTACTTGCTTGGTATTTGCATAAGTACTCGGTATTTGCCAAAGTACTTGGTACTTGCTTGGTATTTGTATAAGTACTTGGTACTTGCTTGGTACTTGTAAAAGTACTTGGTACTTGCTTGGTACTTGCGAAAGTACTTGGTACTTGCACTCGCCCCCCCCCCCCGTTCCCCCGATTCTACTCCCACCCTTACCCCCTCGGGATAATTCCGGGTTCGTCGGGTAGGAAAACTTGCCACTCTACTCCCCCCCCCCCCCCCCCAGAGCCATTTGGTATCGATCGGTGTTTGTCCCGTGTCAATCGGTCGTCAATAAGCCGAGATATGCACCGCGAATTATTTCAATCGGCGCCGATCAGAATCTTCAGGACGGAGGTACCCACACTCATTTCTGACCGTATCTCACTTTCCGAGATCTACGTCAAACTACGTATTTAAAACTACATATTCTACAGCCGAATCTTCCAACTGGGGGTACCTCACTCACAATCGCACGTGAATCAGCCGCATTCCTGTGTCTGAAGCCAATGCTTAAGAGATATGTGGTTCCGCGGCTATCTCGCAAGCCCTAAGAGAAAAAGCTCGCTGCAAAAACTGACCGCTTCAAAAAACCCGCAATCCTACTCAAATGGATAATTAAACAAGAGATCTTGGCTCGCTCCGCGTCGCTTTGGCCATAAAAAGATTCGGAAGAAAATTTGGGATCGAATGGTGTTTTTCCGGTGACGATCGGACGTCTAGAAGCTTCGATATTGGCGAAAAACTTGCTGAACTTGCAAAAGTACTTGGTACTTGCTTGGTATTTGCCAAAGTACTCGGTACTTGCCAAAGTACTTGGTACTTGCTTGGTATTTGCATAAGTACTCGGTATTTGCCAAAGTACTTGGTACTTGCTTGGTATTTCCATAAGTACTTGGTACTTGCTTGGTACTTGTAAAAGTACTTGGTACTTGCTTGGTACTTGCGAAAGTACTTGGTACTTGCACTCGCCCCCCCCCCCCGTTCCCCCGACTCTACTCCCACACCTACCCCCTCGGGATAATTCCGGGTTCGTCGGGTAGGAAAACTTGCCACTCTACTTCCCCCCCCCCCCCACAGAGCCATTTGGTATCGATCGGTGTTTATCCCGTGTCAATCGGTCGTCAATAAGCCGAGATATGCACGGCGAATTATTTCAATCGGCGTCGATCAGAATCTTCAGAACGGAGGGACCCACACTCATTTCTGGCCGTATCTCACTTTTCCGAGATGTACGTCAAACTACGTATTTAAAACTACATATTCTACAGCCGAATCTTCAAACTGGGGGTACCTCAGACCGTGGGAACGACTCGGCTCAGCACTGCCGCACGCGCATTCAGCGGCGGCTTGTCGATTTTTCGAGTGTCGGCTGCCGATCTCCCGAGAGCCGGCCACCTGTCAGCCGCCGCTCGGCTCTGTGTTAAGCATATGGGGACGGCGAATTTCTCCCGGAGGGAAGCACCTCGCTCACAAAAGCACGTGAATCAGCCGCATTCCTGTGTGGCGCGCAATGCTGAAGAGATATGTGTTTCCGCGGGTATCTCGCAAGCCCTAAGAGAAAAAGCTCGCTGCAAAAACTGAGCACTTCAAAAAACCCGCAATCCTACTCAAATGGTATATTAAACAAGATATCTTGGCTCGCTCCGCGTCGCTTTGGCAATCAAAGTATGAGGGAGAAAATTTGGGATCGATTGGTGTTCGTCCCGTGTTAATCGGACGTCTAGAAGCTTAGATATTCACGAAAAACTTGTTGAACTTGCAAAAGTACTTGGTACTTGCTTGGTACTTGCCAAAGTACTCGGTACTTGCCAAAGTACTTGGTACTCGCTTGGTATTTGCATAAGTACTCGGTATTTGCCAAAGTACTTGGTACTTGCTTGGTATTTGCATAAGTACTTGGTACTTGCTTGGTACTTGTAAAAGTACTTGGTACTTGCTTGGTACTTGCGAAAGTACTTGGTACTTGCACTCGCCCCCCCCGTTCCCCCGACTCTACTCCCACACCTACCCCCTCGGGATAATTCCGGGTTCGTCGGGTAGGAAAACTTGCCACTCTACCCCCTCCCCCCCCCCACACACACAGAGCCATTTGGTATCGATCGGTGTTTATCCCGTGTCAATCGGTCGTCAATAAGCCGAGATATGCACGGCGAATTATTTCAATCGGCGTCGATCAGAATCTTCAGAACGGAGGGACCCACACTCATTTCTGGCCGTATCTCACTTTTCCGAGATGTACGTCAAACTACGTATTTAAAACTACATATTCTAAGGCCGAATCTTCAAACTGGGGGTACCTCAGACCGTGGGAACGACTCGGCTCAGCACTGCCGCACGCGCATTCAGCGGCGGGTTGTCGATTTTTCGAGTGTCGGCTGCCGATCTCCCGAGAGCCGGCCACCTGTCAGCCGCCGCTCGGCTCTGTGTTAAGCATATGGGGACGGCGAATTTCTCCCGGAGGGAAGCACCTCGCTCACAAAAGCACGTGAATCAGCCGCATTCCTGTGTGGCGCGCAATGCTGAAGAGATATGTGTTTCCGCGGGTATCTCGCAGGCCCTAACAGGAAAAGCTCGCTGCAAAAACTGAGCGTTTCAAATAACGCCAAATCCTAGTCAAATGGATATTTAAACAAGATATCTTGGCTCGCTCCGCGTCGCTTTGGCCATAAAAAGATTCGGGAGAAAATTTGGGATCGAATGGTGTTTTTCCGGTGACGATCGGACGTCTAGAAGCTTCGATATTGGCGAAAAACTTGCTGAACTTGCAAAAGTACTTGGTACTTGCTTGGTACTTGCCAAAGTACTCGGTACTTGCCAAAGTACTTGGTACTTGCTTGGTATTTGCATAAGTACTCGGTATTTGCCAAAGTACTTGGTATTTGCTTGGTATTTCCATAAGTACTTGGTACTTGGTACTTGCGAAAGTACTTGGTACTTGCACTCGCCCCCCCCGTTCCCCCGACTCTACTCCCACACCTACCCCCTCGGGATAATTCCGGGTTCGTCGGGTAGGAAAACTTGCCACTCTACTCCCCCCCCCCCACAGAGCCATTTGGTATCGATCGGTGTTGATCCCGTGTCAATCGGTCGTCAATAAGCCGAGATATGCACGGCGAATTATTTCAATCGGCGTCGATCAGAATCTTCAGAACGGAGGGACCCACACTCATTTCTGGCCGTATCTCACTTTTCCGAGATGTACGTCAAACTACGTATTTAAAACTACATATTCTACAGCCGAATCTTCAAACTGGGGGTACCTCAGACCGTGGGAACGACTCGGCTCAGCACTGCCGCACGCGCATTCAGCGGCGGCTTGTCGATTTTTCGAGTGTCGGCTGCCGATCTCCCGAGAGCCGGCCACCTGTCAGCCGCCGCTCGGCTCTGTGTTAAGCATATGGGGACGGCGAATTTCTCCCGGAGGGAAGCACCTCGCTCACAAAAGCACGTGAATCAGCCGCATTCCTGTGTGGCGCGCAATGCTGAAGAGATATGTGTTTCCGCGGGTATCTCGCAAGCCCTAAGAGAAAAAGCTCGCTGCAAAAACTCAGCGCTTCAAAAAACCCGCAATCCTACTCAAATGGATATTTAAACAAGATATCTTGGCTCGCTCCGCGTCGCGTTGGCCATAAAATGATTAAGGAGAAAATTTGGGACCGATTGGTGTTTGTCCCGTGTTGATCGGGCGTCTAGAAGCTTAGATATTCGCGAAACCGCGTCGCGTTGGCCATAAAATGATTAAGGAGAAAATTTGGGACCGATTGGTGTTTGTCCCGTGTTGATCGGGCGTCTAGAAGCTTAGATATTCGCGAAAAACTTGTTGAACTTGCCAAAATACCTGCCATGCCAGCTTGCTGTATCACCTGCTACTTGGTAATGTACTGAAAACTTGCTAATGTACTGAAAACCTGCCAAAGGTATTTACTTGCCTAAATACCGCAAAGAAACTTGTTGCTTTCCGACGTTTAAATCAGACGTCGTTAAAAACTTTTCAAATTTCCCTTGGTCGCAGTTTGTTTTGATTTGTTTTCAATGAATTGTTTGCAATTTGAGTTTTGTTTAATTCCAATTCGTATATTAATTCACCTATCTATCTTGTCTCTTATTTGTTGCGTCCTACCTATCAAGCGATTACACTTACGTTGAAAGAGCCGGTGGGTGGTTATAATGCAATACCCTGCACGGTGAACAGCTTGCGAGTTTTGCAGCGGTGCGATTGCTGGGGCTTATCGCTGACTGAAAAGGGTAAATACAGTAAATACAGATGGTTGTGTTGGATCCCTTTGCTTTTGCCCAACATTCAGCGTTGGAATTGTGGCTTTATCGTCTCTCTTATTAAAGTTATTAAACTTTTTGTAGATTCGTCAGGTTTGAAGCGACGCGCGGGGCGACATGCCTCTGGCGGCCGCACGCGGAACTACCGCGCACGGCGGCTCTGGCCGGACGACTGCACAGGTGGCAGCACCTGCCCACATTGCACACCGCCGCCGGGCCGGCCGGTGGAATTTTCCAGCCGTCGGCCGGCCGGTGGCCGGCGAATTTCTCCCGGAGGGAAGCACCTCGCTCACAAAAGCACGTGAATCAGCCGCATTCCTGTGTGGCGCGCAATGCTGAAGAGATATGTGTTTCCGCGGGTATCTCGCAGGCCCTAACAGGAAAAGCTCGCTGCAAAAACTGAGCACTTCAAAAAACCCGAAATCCTACTCAAATGGATATTTAAATAAATAAATAAACAACAAATCTACTAGGTTCCTTCGGCCTTCCAGTTCCTTCAACACCTATGCGAAAAGCAAACATTTAAATACACTGTGGTTCACACACGTTTTACCAGTCATTTGAATAGTTCCTGTGCTCGTTTCCTCTACATACATATTTGAGATCTAGCGAGCTAAATCTAAATCGGAACTGCCATGACGTCATTTGAATAGGTCTAATTTCAAAAGGATTTAGATATACTTTACCAACAACCTTGATCCGAGCGCTGCGATCTTTTTGTTTACGCCAGCCCGCGCGGGAAGCGAGAGAGTGTGATTGGGTGCTAGGTCGTGTGCGTCGGGTGGTTCTCTCTTCTGCTAGACAGAGACATACTCTTATTGGAAATTGAACTGGGTGTTGTGCTGTGTGCCAGTGTCTTTATGGCCAATTGATGCATAGACGCAATGGTGAATGCCACGTAATCCGCCTGGCTGCCTGCGTCGTGAAACTTGGCGCAGCGGCAGGATGTCTTCTATCCGGCCCCGGGGATGTGGCGCCTCAGCAGCCTGGCAATTGATGTGCCCGACTTGTCTTGATGAACGCCAGAAGACGATGGAGACGCCAGAAGACGATGGAGACGCCAGAAGACGATGGAGACGCCAGAAGACGATGGAGACGCCAGAAGACGATGGAGACGCCAGAAGACGATGGAGACGCCAGAAGACGATGGAGACGCCAGAAGACGATGGAGACGCCAGAAGACGATGGAGACGCCAGAAGACGATGGAGACGCCAGAAGACGATGGAGACGCCAGAAGACGATGGAGACGCCAGAAGACGATGGAGACGCCAGAAGACGATGGAGACGCCAGAAGACGATGGAGACGCCAGAAGACGATGGAGACGCCAGAAGACGATGGAGACGCCAGAAGACGATGGAGACGCCAGAAGACGATGGAGACGCCAGAAGACGATGGAGACGCCAGAAGACGATGGAGACGCCAGAAGACGATGGAGACGCCAGAAGACGATGGAGACGCCAGAAGACGATGGAGACGCCAGAAGACGATGGAGACGCCAGAAGACGATGGAGACGCCAGAAGACGATGGAGACGCCAGAAGACGATGGAGACGCCAGAAGACGATGGAGACGCCAGAAGACGATGGAGACGCCAGAAGACGATGGAGACGCCAGAAGACGATGGAGACGCCAGAAGACGATGGAGACGCCAGAAGACGATGGAGACTATCGTCAGTACTCAGTTCCAGTTAGAGCCTGGAGTTGAAGGTGCCGCGGAGTGTGGACTTGCTAGTCGCTGGGCCATCAATCATGCTCAGCAGCCAGGTCAGTCCTGATCGAGGGTCACCAGAATAGAAAACGCAATGGTCCGTCGACGCTAGCCCTCGCCGACACAGGGGGGAGGGGTGATGCACCCCCCCCCCTAAAGCTTTTCGCGAATAGCTCACGTAAAAAGCGGCCGATCGCGACGAATCTTTCAGTACCCTTGCGTCGATTAATTTTACACCTACCCTAAAAATTTCATGACCCTGACCCAAATGACCTTTGACCTGTGACCTCCTTTTCGAGACCATGTTCGGCCGGAATCACGATTCGGCGACGTCGGCTCGCGTAAGCCGCGCGTTTGCAGTCTTTTCGTGGTTTCAATTTCAAACGTTCAAACATGTTCTTTGATGTTGCTCCAATGCATTAGGGTGGATGTCAAGGTCACATGAAGGTCAGATCAGGTCATTGAACATCATCGGCTTCCTCTCGTCTTGTGCAACACGCTCGTTTTTTTTTTCCGCGAAGCTCTAGCTCGATCACAATCAGGGGCCAAACGCGAGGGGGGAGGGTCGTACTACCCCCCTCCCCAGGCAGTAGGTATATTTCTACCTACCCCCCTTGTGCCGTCGAAGGACGCAAAATGCCAAATGGCCTGTGCCGGCGAGGGCTAGTGATTCTTTTGTTTTTGCGACGAGATCTCATTCCGTTCAAAATTGCGAATCAAATTAATTGGACGACGAGGATCATGAAACTCGCAGCTACTCCGTTACAATGACCTTCATTCAGGTCAAAGTCAAGGTTAAAGGAGGGGAAAGCGCAAAAGTGCCAGCAGATATTGTCCGATTTTTTAAACGCTAGCGCCAAAATGTAGCCCATGGGAAGTTGTCACCGCACTTGGAAAACCATTTTTATCGAGGTAAGGCGACAGGCGTACAAATATATAGAAGAATTTTGCGGTTCCCCGTCATTTGACTTCGTTTTTACCTTTCCTCGTTTTCGTTTTTACCTTTTACCTTTAACCTTTCAGGAATGGTTTTCAACATTAGGCTGAAACTTTGCATGGACTACATCTCGATGCAAGAAATGAAAAAAAACGGCCGTGTGACATCTTGTGACACTTCTGCGGTTTCTCGTCCTTTGACCTTGACTGACACTGAAGGTCAAGGTCAATTTTTGACGTTGAAGGTCAAGGTCAACAGCGAAATCGATGTGATTTTCGTGATCCTCGTGGTCCATTCAAGTTGATGGCCACTTTGAACGTAATCGGATTTCGTCGCTAAAAAATTTGCCCCTTCACGGACATATAACGGACCAGGGCCACACACGCGAACGGAACCCCGCTCGTTATGTTTATGCAGTTCTGGGGGGGGGGGGATTGTGGGGATGTGGATACTGGATGGTCAGTGGTTTGTGCCTTGAATGCTTAATCATTAGGTATGTCAATACCTATCGTTTATATATGCTAACAGGCAACACTGCAACAGCATATCCAAGAAAGGCTTGTATTTGCGTCCTGCTCTATAAGGATATTTATCCGTCAACTTGAGGGCCGTATACCTTGATACCTCGGTATCCGGTAGGATTTGGCTGGTGCGGCCTCGACCTCCGCCAGCTCCTTTTGCGTGTTTTCCAGCTCTCCCGCAGTTTCTTCGTTTCGACGGACGGCGGCGTTTGCTTGCTCCGCCGTGGGCGCTTATCTACCCTCCAATAGGCGCCAGCGCCCTCTGTGGCCCTCCCTCGTATGCCGGGCACCTCCTGTCGATTTTAGGACTACATAAAGTACGTATCGCTAAAGTACGTATTACAAAAGTACGTATGCAAATGTTCGTACGCAAATATACGTAGGCGCTAAAGTTCGTATGCCAACAGTACGTACGCAAATGTTCTTACGTAAAAGTACGTATGCAAAAGTACGTAGTGCATAAAGTACGTATGTCAAAAGTACGTACGCAAATGTTCGTACGCAAAAGTACGTATGAAAAAGTACGTAGTGCATAAAGTACGTATGCCAAAAGTACGTACGCAAATGTTCGTACGCAAAAGTACGTATGCAAAAGTACGTAGTGTAAAAAGTACGTATGCCAAAAGTACGTACGCAAATGTTCGTACGCAAAAGTTCGTATGCAAAAGTACGTAGTGTATAAAGTACGTATGCCAAAAGTACGTACGCAAATGTTCGTACGCAAAAGTTCGTTTGCAAAAGTACGTAGTGTGTAAAGTACGTATGCCAAAAGTACGTACGCAAATGTTCGTACGCAAAAGTTCGTATGAAAAAGTACGTAGTGTAAAAAGTACGTATGCCAAAAGTACGTACGGTTCGTATGCCAAAGTACGTAGTGTATAAGTACGTATGCTAGAAGTAGGGTATAGTAGTGTAAGTTGAGCCACTTTTTCTTTGTTGCTGCCCTGCTGCCATACTATAGGGAACTCATGGTAAATTCATATAGGTACCAAATAATATAGCTTTGTTCCTTTCGCCCATTTACTCATCGATAAATTTTGCTATGCCTTGTAACAAATGCTCATTAAATAAAGAATAAGAAAGGTATTACACATTGATCAACTTACCCCATGGGTGGGGTACGTACTTTATGCCCTACGTACAGTCCACAGCAGAAGTAATGTGTGGTTTCAGTCATGGGTATGTTCTGCTTCTGAAGCCTAGGAACGATTAGCCAGACTGCAACGAGACTTTAAATGTAGCTTACATGTATCTTCACTCTTGCAGCTACAACTTTATCTATTGACGTCTTTTTTTTTCAATAAGTCCGCATTTAAAAATCGTCGGTCAAAGCCATCCGTTGAGATTGGTAAAACCACACATTACTTTAGCGGTGGGCTGTACATTTGCTATACGTACTTTTGTCCGTGACGTACTTGGTCCACACGTAGGGTAGACCGGGGCAAGTCGCCCCGCCGAGGTAAAACGCCTGGCGGCCTCACCGATATCTCTCGGAACTGACAGGGTTCTGGGGAAAGGTCCTCTCTTCTGTTAAACGTGCACTATATGATCATTGAGCTGGAAAGAAATTGTGATAACTCTCTAGGGAGATATAGCCAAAAATGTGTTGTTTTTTTTTAGTGATTTTTATATGTTTGGTCATCTGATTATGCATTCTCGCGTTCTTTTGTAGTCCACATCAGGTTAACGACTTTTATGTATTTTGAACAACTATTGTCTAACGCTTATAATGCCGGGTTGGTTCGTGTTAAATTATGTCTTGCTGGAGCGCAAGGCGTTGTTCGCTGACCGAACTACATGATGGGGTAAAACGCCCCAGTAGGTCGCGGGGCAAAAATCCCCATGGGGCGTTTTACCTCATGTGTTGTTCGGACTACCCACTTCCTAATGTTCGGTAGCTGGCGAACAGCAAGTTTCTATGCATTTATATGTATTTTTCTCAGCAACTGTATGGCAAAGGAAGTGTATTGTTAACTGATTTGCATTGCAATATTTATTATTTGGCCTTATGAGGCACGTGAAAAACCTGCTCATACAATAGTGTCATAGCTGATAGGATGGAAGGTGCTAACTTCAGTGCCGTGCCTCCAGCGGTCTAACGGATCTCTCATATAAGATTTAGCCAACTACCATGTTTAATCTTTAAGCTAGACTCTAGAGTATGGGGCTTCTTGCCTCAGGCCGTGGGGCGTTTTGCCCTGGGGTTGGGGCAAAATGTCCCATTTGCAGTTGCTTCACAAATCACTTCCTAGCTGGGAGTCCGATCATAAGTGAATGAATTTGAGGGGTGGAATTTAAAGTAAAATGTCCAAAGATCACATTGAGCACAAATTTGGCCTTCCAGGTGATGTAGCACAAAATTTAGGTAGGCCTGGTAGGCCTATGTAGCAAAATAGATTATCTGGGGCGTCTTGCCCAAGGTCTTTACCTTGCGTCTTTATCCTTCATTATACCCTACGTACATTTTCTATATGTACTTTTGTACGTGACGTACTTTTGTCCATACGTTTACGTACTTAATATCCTTTCGTACTTCTGCCATACGTATTTTTGTCCGTGACGTACTTTTGTCCATACGTACTTTTTACCCTACGTACATTAGCTATACGTACTTTTGTCCGTGACGTACTTTTTTCCATACGTACTTTATACCCTACGTACTTCTGCGATACGTACTTTTGTCCCTGACGTACTTTTGTCCATACGTACTTTTTACCCTACGTACATTAGCTATACGTACTTTTGTCCATACGTACTTTATACTGTACGTACTTCTGCGATACGTACTTTTGTCCCTGACGTACTTTTGTCCAGACGTACTTTATACTGTACGTACTTCTGCGATACGTACTTTTGTCCCTGACGTACTTTTGTCCATACGTACTTTATACTGTACGTACTTCTGCGATACGTACTTTAATCCTACGTACTTTTGCTTACGTACTTTTGTCCTACGTACTTTAGCGATACGTACTTTTGTCCGTAACCCCCTCCTGTCAACGGGGTGGCAACTGCGCCTCTGCCGTCTTAAAACCCGCAGCCCGTGGGGGGGGGGGCGAAACGCCCCCCCCCCGTCCTTTTCGGTCGATATCTCCTAAACGGCTGGAGATATCGCCACCAAACTTTCAGGATCCCTCCGGGCATCAATTTTACACATTGTGACTAACAATTTTTCCAGAGGCTATGATAGGGTGGCCACAAATGACGTCAGAATGACGTCATGTTCTGCAATTTTCGACCGAAAAAAGACCTTCGCGAGAAGACCTTGACCTGTCAGGCCTACAGCTTTGAAGATACAGAAAAATGATCAAGACATAAAAGGTGTAGAATTGACAGGGCTACAAAACTGCTATCTCGGATTTTGACATTTTTGAGTTTTGACCCCAAAAATCAAAAATGCATTTTTTTGGGATAGGTATATTAGCCAAAAAATCCAAAAAGTTTTTTGAGTTTCGAAAAAACCGGAATATATGTGATAGTACCTACGTCCTACCGTCTTCTATCTACATACCAAATTTCAGATCGATACCTCGTTTTTTGGCCAAGGTATAGCGAAAAAACTGTTCAAAAATGATGACGTCAAATTTTCAAACTCAATTTTTGGCAATT